AATATTTAAGCCATTTGCATTTAAGGTGATTATTGATAAGTACATATTTAGTGCCATTTTATTTTTAGACTATTTTCATCTATTTTTTTCTCTTCTTTCTTCTTTCTCTTAAAGCAAAAGCAAGCCCTTTAACATTTGTTGCAGTACTGGTTTGGTGCTAACAAACCCCTTTAGCTTTTTCTTGTTTGGGAAGCTCCTAATCTCACCTTTAATTTTAAATGAAAGCCTTGCTGTTTAAAGTAGCCTTGGTTGTACGTCCATGAAATACCTTGAGTATTTCATGCCACTCTTTTCTGGCCCAAAATGTTTCTTCTGAGTAATCACATTACAGTCTAAAAGGTGCTCCCTTGTAAGTAACTACTTGCTTTTCTCTTGTGGCTTTTAGGAATCTCTCCTTGTCTTTAGGCCTTACCATTTTAATTATGATGTGTCTCACTGTAGGTCTCTTTGAGTCCAACTTATTTGGGACTCTCTGAATTTCCTGGACTTGTATGTCTTTTTCCTTCACCAGATTAGGGAAGTTTTTGGCCATTATTTCTTCAAATAGATTCTTGATCTCTTGCCCACTCTCCTCCTTCTGGTACTCCCATTATGTAGATGTTGTTACACTTCATGTTGTCAAACAGGTTTCTTAAGCTCTCTTCATTTTTTTTTAATTCTTTTTTTTTAGGCTCTGCCTGCATGTTTTTCCTACCTTGTCTTCAAAATCATTGATTCAATCTTCTCTTTCATCTAACCTATTGTTTATTCTTTCTAGTATATTATTTATTTCAGATATTATATTGTTTATCTATGACTGGTCCTATTTAATGGTTTCTATGTCTTTTTTCATGTTTTTGAGTAGTCTTATTATTATTACTCTAAACTGTCTGATAAATTGTTTGCCTCCAGTTCATCTAGTTCTTCTGGAGAATTCTCTTATTCTTTCATTTGGGGTCTGTTTGTTAGTCTTTCCATTCTGAGTGCCTCTTTGTGTTTGTTTCTATGCATTAGGTAGATCTGCAAAGACTCTGGTATAGGCCTATGTCAAACCTTGCCTGTGACTGACCCTGAGCTACCTGTTTGGAGCTATCAGTTATTACTGTGGGTGATTCCCACTGCTAGGCCTTTCTGTGGGTGGAAAGAACCAGGCTGCACACCAAGGCTAGCTTTTGCCAGCACCAGGCTCACTGGATGATCAGCTAAAGTCTCACAGTTCCCAGAGATCCACCTCTGTCTGCAGGTTTTCAATTGGGTTTAAAGAATGAAAGTCTTTCAGCTGTACTCTTCCACCACAGGGCTTAAGCACTGGATGGTGGGGTAGATTAATACCTGTAGGTGGGGCTATTGCTTCCCCTTAAGCTGTTGTCACTTAGAGAGGAGTGCTCTGCCTTAGAAAGATCATTCCTGCAGTATAGCACAGGGATGACCCAGCACAGGGATCCTGGTGGCTGACCATTCACTTCTCTCCCCAGAGCCACCAGCCCCAGACTCTCTTCATGTGGCATCTCTAATTCATTCTTCCCTCCCTCTGCCAGAGCCCATAGAAAGTGGCTACAAATAGAATTTTGTGTGTTGACCCTTTAAGAGGCTTACTGTGTCTCTAGCCATCTCTCTCTAGTGTACAAAAACCCCATTGCTTTCCACATCCATATGCTATTTAGTTTCCTTTTCTGGCTCTGGTACTGTCAGCTAGGGAGCCCAGCTTGGGGTTTAGACCCCACACTTCTCAGGGGGAGTCCCTGGCCCCTGAAATATCCTTTTGGAACTTCAGCTGTCACCTATGTGTGCCCAGCCAGCCATCCCTCAGCTCCTTCACACTCCCTACCAGTCACATTGTGGTGATGTGACTTCTTCCATCTGTCTGTGGTTATTAGGCTTCTCTCCAACTAGTATCCAGTGGTTATTCGACTTTTCTATAATTTAATTGTAATTTCTGTTTGGTCCTGGGAGGAGGTTAGTGTAGCTTCCAGTTACTCCTTTGGCCTCTTGGATCTTCCCTAATAGTTCACAATTTCTAAGAGGACTAGAAGAGTCAAGGTCATTGTTTCACTACCGTGAATCTTTGAGAATTTTATGAACCATTGCTGAACCATATTTTAAAATCAGCAACTTGAATTTTTTAATGGGAGAGATTTATTATAAGGGCATTTTCTAGTTTAGATCTTCCTTTGTTCTTCTAGTCACAATACTATTCCTCTAGTGACTTCATATGCTCTGAAGTTCACAGTACAATAGTAAATAAAAAAGTAGTATGATATTAACATCATACTATTGTAGATGTAACACTCTTTTGTCTCCTAAACCCATATCAATCATTACATTGGTGAGAACCCAACTTCCTATTCTTAAAACTCACTGAAGAGAAGATGGGAGATTTTATACATATAATATTAAACTGTATCTCCCTTTTATACATATCTTCAATTATATATATTTATATATTATTATAACATACATATATAACATATAATCTCCAGTCTACATATAATTGGACAATACATATATAAAATCTTCAACAAAGCACTAGATTTCAAAACATGAAAAGAGCTACAAATCAGTAAGTAAAAAAAAGGGCAATCTTATATTGCCCTTTTTTTGCTCAAAAGACTTGAAGAGGCATATCACCAAAAAAAGGCAACTAAATGGCCAATAAGCATATGAAAAGGTGTTCAACCTCTTTGGGAATCAGGAAAATGCTCATTAAAACCATGTTGAGATTATATGAGCAAAGCTAAAAAGTGTCATAATGCCATGGCGAGGATGTGTATCTGGAGAACATTCACACAGTGTAAGATGGACTGATATGGGTAGACAGTTCATCTGGAGTACCAGGAAGTCTGCTCCTTTGGCCAAGATGGCAGCAGTGGAGGTTCTTACGGAGTGCATGGAAAACTAGAAATATCAATACATAGGAACCAATCACAGAAAGCTAGCAAGATAATTGAATAGGAAAAAAACACCATTCCCTCCCCCTTTTAGTACCAGATTGGGGATGGAACCAGGGGAAGGCTGGCACATGTGCCATGGAAGTCAAAATTGTGCAGGGGTGGTGCTGGGCCAAGGGGCCTGTCAGTCTAACCTGGGGGAAGAATGGATTGGTTGGGAGGTGAACCTACCCAAAGCATGTGAAAGTTTGGGAAATTGGTCATTTTGAGAAAGTACCTGGCCCATCCCACATCCAAGCTAATATAATCCCAGGGGAACAAAGAGGCTCTCTTGCTCATGACTGAACTCACACAGTGCACTAACCTGTTCTCTCAATGAGCCATATGGCCTTAGCATCCATGTAGCTCATAGCCTCCAGGAGGGAGCCTCTCACCCTCTCCTATCCACCTGGTGATGCACTTGCTGGTGGTTTTGTGCACTGTCCCAAAAGTGCACAACCTTGTAGCCCTGGCAGCTGCATGACCCCTGGCCATCTGGACTCCACATGCAGGCTCCAGGAGGGGACCTAAAATGAACAGCAGCCAGGAGCAAATCAAGCTACCTGGATGGGGACTATGACTTCTTAGCAGCCACCTGCAGGCTCCAAAGGACTGTATTACAAACTGGAGGAAGACCTCTGAAGATTTGCTTTTGTCTTGATCTTGCTGATTGAGATGGACTTTGAGGCAGGAGCCTGCCATTGTCCTAGATGGCATAGCTCCTGAATAAAACCTTTTTCTTTTGCACCAGCATCTGCCTCATGAGTTTGTCTTTTGTAGTGACAGGCAGACAAACCTTACTGCTTTTCTTTGGTTACAGGAGGATAAATTTGTATGACTCTGGAAAACAGCTGGGCATCATATGGTAGAGTTGAAGCTTATGATGTAGCACTATGATCCAGCACTTACACTCCTAGAGATATACCTTAATGAAACGCATGATGTGTTCCAGGACACATGAACAAGAATGCTCAGAGCATGCTTATAATAGCCCTAGTCTGGAAACCATGCAAATGTTAATCACCAGCAGCACAAGTTGTCTTTATACACTGGAACACCATAGAGCAAAGCAAAAGAAAAGGCCACAGCTAAGCAACAAGAGGAGTGGAGCACAATATTGATTAAAAGAAGCCAGACACAAATGAAAGTACTCTGGTGTTCTTGGTAAGAAATTCCAAAAGAAGTGAAACTATTAAAAAATCAAAGAAACGAATACCCTGAAAGTCATCACAGTGGAGGAAAGAGAGTGTGGTGATGAGGAAGGAGCAGAGGAAAGGGTTTCTGGGGGGTTATGTTTTGTGTTTTTGATCCAGATGTTCTTCTTCATAACCACTGTATTATACCCTAGATTTGGATTGTTTGTTTTTCTCCAAGTATACATTATACTTCAAAATTTTTTAATTTTAAATTCAAGATAAAAATAGAAAGTAAAAGACTAGTTGGTCAATGTGTGAAAATTGGAATATGTATTGAGAAATCAAACCCTTGGCAATTGAGTGGGTACAGAACACATTCGGGAGTCAAAAACCTGATGTAGGAAAATTCTAAAATAAGGATACTTTCTACTAAAATTAGGAGCATATTTATTTCCCAGAACAGGGCAAACTGTGAGTTAAATATGTTCTTCTTCTTTTTTTACTTCTTTTATAAAAGAATTCATAAATTTAAACTGATGTATGTGCCCTGGCAGTGTGGCTCAGTTGGTTGGGCACTGTCCTGCAAAGCGAAGGGTTGCTGGTTCAATTCCCAGTCAGGGCCCATGCCTAGGTTGAGGGTTTGGTTGCCGGTCGGGGCATGTACAAGAGTCAACTAATCAATGTTTCTCTGTCACATAAATGTTTCTCTCCCTCTTCCTCCCTCCATTGTCATGTCTCTAAAAATAAATAAATAAAATCTTAAAAATATTAACTGGTTATATGTGTAAAAGTATATTGAGGGTAACTAGTTTCCTTGGTTAAAATGGCTTGAACAAGTGACAAATATTAACATAATAATTAACATCTCTAAAAATGTCTGTAAAGCCAGTAATAATGCCAGAGAATTAGTCAAATAGATCTTTGAAAAGCAAAGGATTCACAGTCTTTAATTCCTGCACATGACTCACCCATCTGAATACATATGGACAACCCTGGGTTAGCATTTTTTTTCTTCTGTTTTTCATCAGCAATTGATTATGTTGCACTGTTTATCTAATTCTTCTGAGTTTCTGTTTAATGTGATCTATCTCTACAGAAGGTAGAAATGAATAAGACAGATGTATACATGACTTCAGTTTCTTTCAATAATAATACAACATCCTCAGCCTTCCCTGCATCAGCTTAAATACTCCCAGTTTCTGGCAGGTTCCCTGTAAATTTCAATAGTTGTGGGACTTCTTGTATTTCTCCAATTATTTTTTTGTTCATTTTCTGCCAATCTTTACAACATCTACAACCATAAGGCAGCTGGTTTATTTTATCCTTACATGGATTGCCTATTAAATTTAAAGATGTGAATTACTCAAAAAATACCCAGAGGTCATGCATCACCAAAAATCATGACGTGAGGATAAACGCATCTGCTTGAGCAGACTGCTGGTCACCGGCATATGAAGGCAGTCGTCCGGATGTGTGGTCCACTGGAAAGTCACACCGCACGTGACACAAGCCTCTTTAGTAAAATATGGAGGGGGAAGAAAGAAGAACAAAGACCAACCAAAACTTTGCTTCAGATGTCTGTAATTTTAAATGTTTATATTTCCTAATAATTTATTCCAAAGTTATAACTTTTAATCCTAAATCTAGACTTATAATTACTGTGGTTTTCATTACATTAGGTTTAAACACTTTCTCATTCTACTTTCTCAGTTGCACCCAAAGGTCAGCTTGGCCACTTCGCCATCCAATACTCCTTTGCCCAAGCTTAATAATATATTGCATTCTTATGCATATTTTTCATATTTGAGGACAGGCCATCAGAAAATTATATGTTGCTTCAGACTCATGGAGAGAAGGAAATGCACAAAGATCATTGTCCTTGACGTGGAGTGGACCCTGAGATCTGAAATCACCAGTGTTGAGGTGACAAGATTCCCAGAGCCTTACTGTCTCTATGCCCTTTCCCCAGCCTGTTCCTGAAGTTGGATAAGAGCATCTCTGCCAAGTGGGTGAGGTGCTGGGGCAGAGAGGTGGGGGAGGGGAGGCCTGTGAGGGAGGTCTTTTTCTCCTTTCTTCTCCCACTACTTCTGGAGCAACTTTGGAGGGGGCACTAGTACTACTCCCTGCCAGATAAACAAACCCACACAGAGTCAGCCCCTTTCTTCCAAGGACCCTATTTCTTACACATAGGGACACTTGCATATATGGAAGTGAGAAAAAATGTTTATATTTTATCCAATTATTGACTCCCTAAAACACAGAAGAGAGGTCCCAGTGTCTTTTCAAATGCCTCTGCCAGTGTTCCGCTCATCCAAACCCTGGCCTGGTCTGGTTGAATAATTACTGTGCAGAGTTATTCTTTCACTGTGGTGATGACAAAAAGGTAAATTGTTAACAAAAGACTAGGTGAGTCCATCATTGCTGACCTTCTCTGATATGACTTGGGGCCACTGTGTCATCAAGAGCCTGGTGTGACAGTTACAAATAGGCCTGGAATATCCCCATTCCCTCCCCTGTTCCTGTCTAATCTCTGCAGTTAAGCCCCTGATGTTTCTTGCAGGCCTCAGAGTCCTCTCACTCCCATCTGTCCCCCGGAGGACTTGCTCTATGAACACAAGTTAACCTTGGCTACGGCCACCATGGTGTACTCGGCCCATTGCAGTTGCCTTTTGTGTTGGAGATTTCTCACATGCTAGTCGAAGGAGTTAAGTTTCTTCAGAGAGGTTTCTCTGCTGGTCAGCTAGAAGAGCTGGGAATCCCCAGTGCAGTCACAGGAACATTCTCCCAGGCAGCCTTTCCTGATTAGCTCGCTTGGGCTGGACAGAAGTAAAGGAAGATTTTCTCGTGCATGTGCTGAACCCAGCTGTGGTTCTAGCAGGCGGTTTCTACATTTATGAATTGTGATGTGTTCAGACTAGTCCGAAGAAAGTTTATATATTCTGGAAGATAGAATGAAGGCATGGCAAGAAGAGAGGTCAAGAAGTAAAAGAGCCAGAGGCTCTCTATTTGGGGGCATCAGAAGATAGAAGCTCAATAAAAGTCTAATCCATAAACCCCACCAAGGAGGGGCATCCACGGGGTTGGTTGATGGTGAGGCACACACTTCTGAGGGGTGCCATCTGGCTTCCGAGAGGATGCTCTGAATTCATGGCAGTTCATAAGGCCATGGAAAATGCTTAGTAATCATTTGCAGCTGCAGCTCAGCCACTTCCCTTTACATTCCATGGCCCTGGAAACAAAATGAAAAAATTTTTTATACACGTTTTTTATTTCTGATCGTAGTGTTAGCTATAAATCCATTCCACTGAAGTCTATAAAGTGTAGTTTAGATTTCATTGTTGCCACCTCATGCCGAATCATAAAATTTAAAAAAATAAAATAATATGCAAGGAAGAAACAAATAAAAACAAAAGGAAGGCTCTTTGAAGGAAATTGCCCCTCAGACTCAGTAAACGCTCAGTAATTCAGATCTATCTAGATGAGTGCAAGTTTGGACTGCAGGCTATTAAGTTTCAATATTCAAGTTCTTAGGACATGTAAACATATGTGTGCATGCCTGCCTCGGGGCGTTTATCTTCTAAGGTATGTGGGGGTGCTCGGAGGAACAAATATTACAGCTTCTGACCGTCCAGAGCCCCAGTAAACATCTGGCAATCTGTCAGCCTCAGCACACATAATTATGTCTGTTTATGGGACTAAATAATCTGAGAGTTTCTTGGAGTACTGCAGTCTCAACAAGCTGATGGAGATCCCAAAGGAACCCACTTTTAGGAATGCCAAACTGTAACCGGTGTCTGGTGTATAATAGACAAACCTGTGCACTGAAATCATCTAGGGAGGTTTTCTAAACTCCCAAACCAGGGGCCCACCCTGTCCATTGTCCTCACTTCAGTCTGTAATGGAGCCAGGAAAGGATGCTGGCTTAGAATTCTATTTGGTAATTTTGGATACACACTCCTGTCCAAATATCCTTTTCTGGGGTCTCTTTTGCAGGATTTATTTCTTTAGACAATCTTATTTCCAGAAATATCAATGGTAGATGTCATCTGAGTCCCTGTTTAAGTTAAATGTATACATTTCAAATGACTACAGGTAAATAAAATGATCTTACCATGGGTTAAATTTGCAGCTTTATTTCTGGAACCAAGACATTGCATTTCTCAGATAACCAGAATGATGTCCAGTCAACCCTTCCAGTTTCTCAGGCCAAAAACCTTGGACTCATTCTCAGCCCTTCTCTTTCTCTCACTAACCTCACAGGGAATGTTCAGCCAAGTCTGCTGACTTGTGCTTCAGTAATGATGAGTTCTCACCACCTCCTTGGCTGTAGCCTGCACTGGTCACTATCAGAGCCGCCTCGCTGGGTTCCTGCCTCTGTCCTGATCCCCACTGTCTATTGTCCACACAGCAGAGTGGACAATAAAATTTAACCTGGATCATGCCATCCCTCCAAGTACCCTCACTAGTTAATCCCAGTCAAAGCAAAGTCATCAGAATGGCCTGCAAAACCCAGACACTCCCCCTGTATCTCTTACCAGTCCTGGTCTCCTTGTTCTTCAGTCGGCACTGTGCTCCTGCTGAGGGTCTTTGCCTATGCTGGTCCTTCTGCCTGCAATGCGGGTCCTCCAGATTCCCACTTGGCTGCCTCTCAGACCCTCTTCAAGTCTTGTCTCCAATGTCACCTACTCAGCAAGCACCTTGCCAATCACCACTCCCATTCCAATGAACCCTACTCCCCATCCCACTTTTCTGCTTTAGTTTGCTGTGTAGCATGTGTCACCTACAGCATGATATGTAGTTTAATTATATATTTTTTCCATCCCAGAGGACAGGGGTTTTGGTCTGTTTGGCTCACTTCTCTACACCCAGCATTTAGAACAATGCCTAACTCATTGCAGATGCTCAATAGATATTTGCTCAATGGAAATAAATGAATGAATCAGCCAATAGACAGCATGATTCAGTGATTGGAGGAAGCAGCATGAGTAGGCAATGAACAATTGAGCTGTTTTCTGGGAACTGACTCCATGCACTTCCTTATTCACTTTGCTCTTCTATAAAAATTGACTGATTATTCTTCCCTTTCATCAGCTCACAAGGTTGCATTCAGAACAAATAGTGATTTGTTTTAACACTTTGGAAGAAATGTTCCATCTTATATAAATAGTCAGGAAACAATTATGCAATTTGCTAATTATGTCATTAGCCTCTCCTTTTCTTTCCCTATACTATTTGATTTAGCAAGTTCATAAAATATAGTCAAAAAGGAATAAATGTAAATTTCAGATAAATCCATTTTTACCTTATTCATTTCTTCATAACTAAGAAGAAGAAAGTTCAAAGTATTAACTTAAAGTTGACATGGAGATTATCTATTTAATATTTTCTCTGTTCCCTTAGATAGAGTCATCATATTTTACAAATAAAATATACTGAGAGATTTCAAAAATAATTTTGGGGCAGTTCCTATATATGAAAGACAGCCTAGAATAAGTAATATAATACAAAATATTTGAATTTAATAATATGGCTAATATTTATGAGTATTTTCTAGATACCAGCCATTGTGTGATAGCTTTGAGTACATAATCTTATTTTATTCTCACTTAAATTCTAAGAAGAAGGAATACACTTAAAAAAATTGAGGTTTCAAAAAGTAAAACATCTTACCTAAGTTCATGCAGCCTAGTGGTTGACAGAGCTGTGATGTCGGTCCATTAAAAGTGGCTTATGGTAAGATAAAATATTTCAGATCAGAATAGTTCTAAAAAAAGTGGGTCAGAAGTGTAAAGTATGTCACATTATCCTGAATTTTTAAGCACTGACTGTGCAAATGAAAGTTATTACTATAAAAAATCAGAAGAAGAAGAACTGCCAATCACAGGGTGCCGCTCCCCCGGAAGTGCAGAGCACGTCGTTCACCAGCACACCCACGCAGCAGACGTCCCAGCACAAAACAGAGTGGGGTGTCGGCGTCTGTCTGTCTAACTGGGTCAGTGAGACGTGCAAACTGGATGACTCAGCTCTCAGAGTGATTTACTTTTTAATTTGAATGATTCAACTTATCTGTCTCCAGAGATCAATGAACTCAAGCTGGGCTGCAGTGCCGCCTCCTGACTTCCTGTCTGGACCATAACTTATCTCCAAGTAGAGGCAGTTTGTCAACTCAGGCCATCACGAGATGTCTTTTGTAGTTCTGTCATTTGAAATTAAATGCTGATTTGGAAAGGGAAGAAGGTAAAGAGAAAGAGAGAAGACAATTGAGGCACACACATGTGGTGGTGGTGGTAGTGGTGGTAGTGGTGGTGGTGGAAGTTTCCCTGGCAACTGATTACAGGTCAAGACTGGGAGTGTGTCTTGGGGGACTGTGCGATATGGGGGAATCCTAGTTTCTCCCATTTGATTATTTTCCAACAAGGTGGCATGGAGTCTTATGGTCTTAAAAATATTTTACAACCAATGTTGTAATATCCTTGACTCCATGCCTCCATGCCATGCCTTGACTCCTTGACTCCATGCCATAAGACTCCATGCCGCCACAAAATCAAAACATGCGCCACAAAATATCCTTGTTACCTTTATTAAGTCTAAAGTCTTTGCTTTCTACCCTGACTGGCATGGCTCAGTGGATTGAGCACCAGCCTGTGAACCAAAGTGTCGCCAGTTGGATTTGTAGTCGGGGCACATGCCTGGGTTGCAGGCCAGGTCCCCAGCAGGGGGTGCACAAGAGGCAACCACACATCAATGTTTCTCTCCCTCTCTCTTTCTCCCTTCCCTCTGTCTAAAAATAAATATAGATAGTCTTCAAAAATAATAATAGAGTCTTTGCTTTCTTTCTCTTTACAAATACTTTATGTGACCATATTCTGAATATTATAAAATTATTTGCTGACATAACTGGAAAAGTTTTTCTTTTTATTTAATTTTTTTCTCCTTAGAATTTCTCAGTTATTCATTCGTGTCCCAGTAGAACTCTCAAGTCAAAAGATAGAAAACAGAGATTGTGAGTCAATGTAAGTTCATGAACGAAAAATGAGGAATCTCAGTGAATCTAAGAGAAGAAGGTCCTTGAAAAATCAAGGACGTGTCAGGAAACTAAGGAGTAGTAATGACAAATGGCTCATGTGCCACTGGATAAAGGCCTGCATGCTATCTTTGAGCTATGAAGTGAACAGTATGATGTCTGACACAAGGAGGGCTGTCTAACTGTAATGTATACCCAGAGGCTTTGACCTTGAATCAAAACTTTTACCTCTTTCAGTGTGTACATAATTATGCCTAACCATTAGCCAAGAAAAATAAAGTACGTAGAAAGTCCTCATATTTCTTAAACATTGACACTAGAGAAACAAATAATCTTAGAATTAACTGGAATGAGAATATTTGATGTCTTTATTATAAACAAAATACAGCCTCCATTTGGGGGAAAGCAAATGTTCTAATTAACGTTATTGAAAAAAACTACCAGCTCTGAAAAAATCCAATACATCTATAGGAACTCTCTTTGTAACCAAGGCTAAAGTGTGCAGTGGTCAAGTCTTCAGTTTTAAATGTTCCTTCTGAGTTCTGCTTGAGAATGTAATAAGGTGGAAGCAAGTGCACGGAGGGTGGAGTCAAAGCAGAGGCCAGAGATTTGCCTACTAATGAGCAGTTCATGGACACAGCCAGAGATTCTAGAGCTACTCAGATCACAGCCTCTGGTGCCAGACTACCCAGGTTCAAGATCAAGTTCTCCCACCTGCTAGCTGTGCTACCCTCACAGAAATTAATTATTTAACATTTAAACCATTCCTGTTTTCTCTTCTAGAAAATGGAGATAAAAACGAATTCTTCCCCATGGGTTTTCATAAGGATCAAAAATTAACATATATAAAGTACTTGGGACAGTGCCTTGCACAAGAGAAATGCCATATTTTTATTGTTAGAGATAAATAAATAGAATGGAAGCTGGAGATGTTGCTATTGCCTATAAGTCACTCCTGTGACATGAGGTGACATGAGCCAAGGTGGTAAATCAGAGTGATGTGTGGCATAGGATAGATGATGAGTAAATATATGTTGAGTGAATATTTTAATAAGTGAGAGTACTGACTGTAGACCAAGAAGATCCAAAGCAAATGTGCATTTGTCTGTGAATGGCCCAGAGGCTAAGGCAGACTAAGGTGACCAAGACTGGGTTTGAGTGTCGCATGTGCCCCTGGAGTGAAGCAGATAACTCGAAGGAACAGTGCTGAGTTTGTTGCCAAAAAATAAAGAAAAAAAAAGAAAAATACAAAGTAGTAACCCTAATCACTCACTGTTATGAAGATTTGTGCTTTGATTTAGGTAATTATCTTTCTACTCTAGTTTTAGCAATTTGATGCATTTAAAAGTCTTGAAAATAGCACAATATGACTTTGCAATTCACTGGATAATTTTGGTACAATAACAAATAAGGAAATATGACTAATCTGCCCCAGTCTTATCTTTTTCCTGTAGCAATAAACCAGCTATTTTGGGATGGTGGAATACCATCTTCCCTTCGTCTACCCTCCCTTTCTGAAAACATTAGTAAAGGTTTTGTTTGCCAGAAGAAGTCTATTCTCACTACTTCATTCACAACATGTGTTCTACAGGCTTCTGACAACAACAATTCCCTCTTGTACTCACAAATAGTCATGTCCAAGAACTCTTACCAAAAAGGTTTTCCAGTGTAATGGTTAATATTGTCTCAAAATTTCCATCTAGTCATTGCCATTGTCTGGACAAAGCAAGTAAAAAGCATGTAAAAAGAATGTCATAACCATCCAAAGACAGTTCACACTGTGCATTGGATTATATTGTATCTTGGTCCACTGGCCAGTGATGTTTGCAGGCGTTACACCATTCAGGTTATCAATATGAGTTCTAATGAGTTAAACAGGCCCTCAAGGTCTCAGATATAATATAGAAAATGCAAATACTTTAAGGGCAAATTAAATTGCAAATTAAATTTTAATACAGATTTAATTGGGATGCAGAATCTCAATAGTCTACAGGGCAATGTAGCAAATTTCAGTCAAATATATCAGAAAGGGCCTGGTTTGGAGCTAGCAGAATGACTCCAGGCAAGGATTATAGCTGGGCTTCTAGAAGTCTTCTGCTTTCTTTTCTCTAAGGACAACTGAGGCATCCCTGCTTAGTCTTTGTGCTTCTGGCCAGGTTTTTCAGTTCAGGGGACCTTCCATCTGTTCCACAGAGGCCTCATCACCGTCTCCATCCTTGGACAGATATACTATCCTACAAAAACATAGGGAATTTGCAAGAAAAATTAGTACGTTTGGGGGAATAGGGCCTAAGTGTCACAGACTCCCCCTTTGTTGCTTGTTATAACCAAGAAACATCCTAAGAAAGGTCAACAATCATGGAAATGAAATTAATTTTAATGTTAAAAGTTAGTGTATGCTTTATAGTAGTTTGGGATTTTTGATCAAGGGAAGAAATAATGACATATAAATTTTTTTTAACTGAAAGTCACTATTTCAAAAGTCAAATGAATACAGGCCAGAAAGTCTCCAAATGAAAAATTTGGGGTCTGATTAAAATCAGTGATTCACCATCCTGGCTATGTATGAATAGGATTGACTAGAGTGCTTATAACAAATTTACAGTTCAGATAAGTTCAAACAGAATCTCTGGGAGAGAAACTCCCAACACCAGTGTTGTTAAAAGCTCCCCAAGCGATTCAGTGTGCTGCCCAAATGGAAAAATGCGGGCGGTTGTCCTGGTTGTTTGGTCCCCTTGACCAAATGTTCCTGAACAGGGCTGTTTAAATGCTGTTGCAAATGAATTCCTACACACAGAGGGATTGAATCAGAGATTTTAGTGGTGGGAGTGGTGGAGGAGGGGGTTGGTGGTGGAGATGATGCAATTATAAAGAGCAGAAATCTATATTTTAAGGTCACCTTGTGGGAATTCACCTCATTTGACCATCGGCACTCCTAGGAACTGCTACATATTTCATGTCTAGTTTGCTAAAATGGGTCATTTACTAAGTCATACTAGTTTGTTCAGACTGTTTTCATTCTTATTGTGAGTTTATCTTGACTTGACTATTGCAAAACATTTCGAGTTTATCTTCCATGATGGCTTTTCTCTGTCAAATTTGAAGGATAATGAGACTGCTTTGGTAAATCTGTGAGTTAGGAGTCCCTTGCTGGATATGCCATATTATTGTGAACAGAAAGAATACAAAGACAGAGTTTTTTTTTTTTAAACTGAGCTCTTTTACATGGAATTTTCAAGCTCTAAAATAATTAATCTCCCCAACATTTCAGTCTTTCTCTATGAACTAACTCTTCTGAAGTTTTCTAATTAGCAAACATTTAAGACCACTTTTCTCTTCCAAAAAAAACTTCAGTGTATCACTCGCTGACACCATGCCTGGAGCAGAAGTTCTACGTCCTGATTTCTAAATGCGTTTATTTCCATTGTCCAGCAATATTTCATTCTTTGTGGTTTTGCAAGCCTCTTGATTCACTCCCACCCTGTGATGAAAACAGTAGAGAGATATCCTTTCTGCATTTTTCTCTAGTCCTGAGAATAACCGCACTTCCTTTTCCCTGGGGACATTTATCATCTGGGCAGAAATGTCCGCTTCCCACTCACCCCTGACTTTCCCTGCCTGGAGCTCTCGGATTTTAAGTTCTGGGATTTGGGGGGTAGACCCACGCTGCTTGTTTTGTTCAGAGATGTCAATCAACCTACCAATACTCGAAGCAGAAAACCTGCAAGTGCCGGGAGGGTAGTACTTTAGAAACACATTATATTAAGTACCTTGGAC